CAAGCGTTAAGGTCCTTGGAACTCGTCTCAAAGGTGGCAGAGCTGCAGTGCACAGGTGTCCTCACAGAGACACTACCTGGTTTCTAGAGACAACAGGGCTGAGCAGAGCATTTCGCATCTTTCATTGTGGTGCTAAGATTCACCACAGGTTGGATGATGGGTTGGAGAGAAACGTGAAACCATTAGATATTGACAAATCAGAACAAATGGTAGCTAGAAAAATGGGAGAAGGAAGAGCAAGGAAGGAAGGAGAGCCCATTGATTCTACAAACGTAGCAGACGGGATTCAAAGAATGTGATCTAGAAAAGACAGACAGTAAAAGATTAAGAAGGGAAAACACGAGAGGAAGAGCACTGCACAAAGTATCGGGATAAAATTACAGGCTTAGTACTTCTTATTCAACATGCTGGGGCCAGAAGCATTTTGAGATTAGTGTGTGTGTGTGTGTGTGTGTGTGTGTGTGTGTGTGTGTGTGTAGTATTTGTATACATATGAGATATCTTGGGGATGGCACCCAACTTAAATATGAAACTCACTTGTTTCATATGTATTTTATATACACTCTGAAGACAATTTTACACAATATTCTTAATATACTGATGCATGAAAGTCGTATTTTTTTAGGTTTTATATTTCATTAATTCATGTTTGCAGTACATAGCGATCACATTCCTTGTGTGGATTGGTCCCAGTGGAGGAAAGTTTCATGGTTTGGAATTTTGCCATGTGTAGTATCATGCAATTGCTCAGAAAGGTCAAATTTGGGGAACTAGGGGTGTAGTTCAGTGGTAGAATTCTTGCCACTGTATGTGCGAGGTCAGCAGCACAACACACACACAGATAAACACACACACACACACACACACACAGATACACACATACACATACATGCTAAACAAAACCTGTTTCAGATTTTAGAGCACTTCAAATTTTGGATTTTTGGATCAGGCACGTTCACTTTGCACATAGCTATATGCAAACCCAGTTAAAAAATGCAAGTGGGTTCCTGTCCTCCCCGAATAGAGAGATGCACTAAATATATTATAATGTACTAAGTAATAATAATATAGAACTTACCAGACTTGAGAGACATGATTATATCAATAAAACTGGACATACCTATTTTGTCTATAAAAGACTTTCTAGTTGGCTTATATAGCCAAGCTGAACTATTTGATATAGACAAGTAATATAAAAATGGAGACATTGAGAGAGCTAAAAATGAAAGGGGTAGAAAAAAATGTAGTAGGCAAATGGAAAGTTAGATAGCAGAACTGCAAATAATTCCAAGTCTAAAGTCACAATCTGAAAATTCTGAGCTATAAAATAGGTCTTGAACATATGAAAAAAATCCAACATTACTCATAAGATAAATACAAATTAAAACTTTGACTAGAATATCATTTCTCCTCCATTAGCCACACCAAAGTCCCTTAAATCTCACTGATATTTAGCCTGAGCATCTAGTATTGAAATTCTCTTCAGCAGCATTATCCCAGAGGAATCCCAGACTATCTAGAGTATCCTATCACTATGCCAGCTTTCCTGCAGCTGGAACAAAATGCCCAACACTTAAAACTTAACAGAGGTTCCATTTGGTTTATGGTATTAGAGGATTCAATCAATGCCTCCAAGGCAGAAGTAACTAGGCAGAATGGCATGGGGGACGGTGCACATCCCACAAAGCCAGGAAACCAAGAGAGAATATATTCTTCCAACGATCAATCCACTGATGAGTGTAATGCTTCTCGTGATGCAATCATCTTCTAAAAGTGAACAAGTGAGATTTCTGGGGCACATGCTATATCTAAACTAGCACTCTGCCCTGCCCTGCAAAGGTCATATCCTGCTCATTATGTAAAATGTATTTAGTCCACCTCTAAGAGTTGCCAAAGCCTTAACAGTTTCAGCAGTCCTGAAAAGTAAAGTCTCTGTTGGGCAATGTGGCGCACGCCTATAATTCCAGCACTCCAGAAACTGAGGTAGGAGTGTTGCTACAAGCCTGAGGGTGGCCTGGGTTACATAGTCAGTTCAGAGGCAGCCTGAACTATACAGAGGCCCTCTCTCTAAAAGAAAAAAAAAAAAAAAAAAAAAAAAAAGACAAATTCAAAGCAAACTCTTATCTGTGAGTCCCTGTGAAAAATAGAAAAAGAAGTTCCAGCATATGATGGGATAGAGTAAGTATTTTCATTTCAGAAAGGGTGGGGGCAAGGAAGAGGAAATAACTGGACCAAAGAGGATAAACATTAAATCCTGTAAGTTCATGTCCAGCACTAGGGGCAGTGTGTGGCCAGATGTGAACCCCAAAAGGCTTGGGCAGCCCTTGCCCTGTGTCCTTGCTAGTTGTAGCCCACATGGCCTCTCTTGAGCTGGATTTGCCCACTGCCTGTGGCTTTCCTTAGCAGACAATCCATGTTCCTGGCACCTACAACTTTCTGGGGCCTCCCCCACACTTTGGCTTCACTTTCACATCTTCAGGCATTGCCTTCTCAAGGGGCAATTGCTTTGCCTCTCAGGCCTTCCTGTGAGCCCCCAGCACTTGCATTCTGCATGTCTGAAAAATCAGAAACATGTTGATCATGCCAAATTCTGTCACCAACTCCAGCAGTGGCCTGGTCCCTTTAGACTGAGGGTGCAGACAAATCTTCTCCAGATCATCACATATATGGCCTCTAGTCCAACTGCCAGTAGAGTTCTTGTACTCAACCAAAACCTTCAGAGAATGGCTTTTACCATCTGCATTCCTATCAACACTGATGTTCTGAGCTCTGATAAGAACCACCCATTAGGCTGTTCTTACAGTATTTTCACTTGCAGAGCCAAACCTTTCCAAACTCCTCCTGAAAACTAGGTACACAGGTTAGGTACAATCATAGCAATGACTCCACCCTTGGTACCAATTTTCCATATCAGTCAGCTTTCGTGTAGCTGGGACAAAATACCTGACATTCACAATTTAAAGGAGAGGTTTAAGTTGGCTTGTAATTTTGGAGGATTCAGTCCATGGTAAGCTGGTTCCAGGGCAGAAACAGCATGGTGGATGGACACATGCAGCAAAGCTGCTCACCTCATGGTAGCCAGGAAACAGAAATAAGGGAGGAGCTGGAGACAAGAATACATCATTTAAGGGTATGTCCCTCCTGTTACCTGCCTTTTCTGACCACACCTCACCTCCTAACAGTACATTCATCCATGAACTAGCAACCCATGACCCAGTCAGTTTCCAAATATCTCAGCTCCAAATACAAGAATTTTGGCTGACATTCTAGATATAAATCATGTCTCTACTGAAATATTGTAAGGCATTTTATACTTTTTTGTTTTGAGATCATCAAAGTTAAAGCTTGTAGTTACAATAATCCAGTGTTGCCTGAGCTATGTCACATAGAGTACTGCTATGAGAAGTTTAATATTATTGGTATTATTGGAAATGTACTGTTATATTAGCATTAATTCTCCCCTTCCAATAACCCATAATCCACAAGTTACCTTTCTTTGGGCTAGGTAAAATGGAACAATAATTGATACATACATTCATGAAGTGGTCATATATAATTGTTGCTGAAAAAGCCAAAGAGATAACTTCTTCCTCACACAAATAGGATACACATGGATGAGCTTTAACTGAAATTTGTTCATTCTGTAGTAACACAATGAACTAATTTTGATTTTTCTGGCTTAGTGTTTTAGTTTTAAAAGGTTTCAATCTAAAGCTTAAATGTGCTTGATTTATTCTTATGTTTTCCTAAGGCCAAGGTAAACACAGAAAAAAAAAGGGGGACCATGTGTTCTCTCTCCATCCAGCTAGGAATGGAGCATGTGTTTCTTCGCATTCGCATGTTGAAACTCTAGTAATTAATGATGGTATGTGAGGTGGGACTTTTAGGAGGTCATCACGAGATCAGGCCTCGTGACTTGAGTCCTTTTTTTTTTTTTTTTGTCTTTTTCCTTTTTATCGGTACCGGGGATTGAACTCACAACCGCCTGCTTGCAAGGCAGGAGCTTATGCCGCTGAGCTAAATTCCCAGCCCCTGACTTGAGTCCTCTTGATGAGGTTAATGATCATGTGAGATGGAAACTCCAGAGCCTGTTCTCTCCACTGTGTGAGCAAACAGCAAGGAGGCAGCCATCTGTGAACCAGTAAGAGGCCCCTCCTAGGACCCAACCATGCTGGCGCCCACATCTGCATCTTCTTCATCTGGTTGGAGAAGCAAATGTCTGTGCTTCTCCTGTGGCGTTACAGGAGCCTGAACTTTGGCTTCCTCAATTAAAATTGTGTACATGATTATTAAACCATAGTTTTTCAAGTGGAGAACTTTGCTCCTAGAAGGAGCATTTGGCAGTATCTGGAGAATTTTTGTATAGAAGTATGTAGATGCTTCTAAGTAGTTATCTTGCAATGCTTGGTTTCCTACAACACAAAACTTTTTCAAACAAATTATGTGTCATCCCCAGACGAAGGAACTCTGCTTTAGCTGGTCTTAATTTTCACTCCCCTGGAAATTTTGTCTCTCATTAGGGATGAACTTAAGAACCAATATAGAGCAACCCAATATTTTAGAACAAGTAAAAACTGGTGATTATGCCTGTGAAATGTTTTACTGGGAGATACATGTTGTTTCCTACTCAGATAAGCAACTACGAAGACACATTAGGTGTGAATGCCCAGTGAGAGGATTTACTAGTCTTTAGATTACTAGGCAAATCAAGATTATTACTGTAGAATCATTCACACCAGCACGATAGTGCTCCTCCAAGAAATATTTATCTGCATAAAACACCATTTTATTCAAATTAAAGACTGAAATTAAAGAAGGGTCTCTCTAGGTATTCCTTCTCAATTGCCTTATTTTGCCTTTTTGTTTATTTTCTTCTTTTAGGATCATAAGTAAAATATTTAGGTTGGATAAAGAAAATTAGATCTGCCTCTTTCTCCTCTCTCTACCTCAAATTGCTATAATATCCATAGTCATCTTTCAAATAAAAGTCTTACCCAGCATTATTTTATTTAATTTATTTATGTAATACAGTGTAGAAAGCTATCATGGCATAAGCAATGATTCTGTACAATAATCCTGCAGAAAAAAGTTTTTGGAGAATTGTTGGTAATTTGAGACCAGCAGAGCACTCCCTCTCTCCCACCCATAAAAGTGCTTACAATGAACAGGGATTTTTTTTTATCAAAGATCCAAAGATTTATGGACAAAAAATTCTCAATGCCTCATGTGTGCACATAAAACAGGCACAAAGAAATAAACGTATCTTCTTAATTCCTATGTCACAAATATAGCAGAAGCAGCAATCTGTACAGTAAAATGCAATCATGGAAAAAAAAAATCTCTAAATCATTTGGAATACTAAAAAAAGTTTTAACTTTAAAATGCATAGTGATCAGGAAAAGAATACGTAGGCAAGAGACGCAGCTAAACTCCCACGTTCACATGAAGCATCCCCATCGATTTTTAAAGCGTATTTCAAGTAGGACTTAATTGGATCACAAACCACAAGAATAATATACAACTGGCTAAGGAGCTATGCATGTGATAAATAATCAGAAGAGAATCTATTCATGCACTAGTTTGATACAGCTAAATTCTTTACAGTACACAAAACCCATTAATAATGTAGTGTAGAGACCAAAATGTAAAGAGAGAGAATACATTACTGATTTGTATATTAATTCAAGTTCAGGCATCTACTTTGTGTTACAGCACAGCTGTCAAAGGCAGTAATGAGTAAATAATAAAACAGAAGGGTTTGTTTCTTCCCACATTATTCTAGAAATGAACACCGATGGGTCGTGAAGCAATGGTTTTGCTGTCCAACTTCAGAGGCTGCTGTGGTGGAGGTCTAGTTCTGCATCTGTTCGAAGAACTTGTAAGTTGGATTCTCGTAGCCATTCTGTTGCATCTTGGACAGGTGGCGCTCCTCAGGGGTCACAGCAGCGTCAACCTGAAAAGCAAGCAGGGTGGTTAAGACATCCATCAGCCCCTTAAGAGCGTGCGTGAAACCAAGAAGGTGGTAAAAAGTGCACAATGTTCTCCTTTTGGAAAGACTGCAGAACACCCATGGTTTATCCCCCTGTAGAGCACTTTAAGAAAATTCTTTTTAAAAATTTTTATTTTGAGGCAGAGGTCTTGCTAGACTTGAACTTGTGATCCTCCAGCCTCCACCTCCCAGAATAGGGGAAAAGATTGTCTCCAGTTATGCAGATGCTCCACGTAGGCACCAGGTGGCGCCCAGAACCTTGCTGGGCATACTCAGGTCTGCAAAGTGCCCAATGGTTGCTTTCCCTTCTTCCTTCTAATAGTAACTGGGTAAATCCTGTTGGATGCAAAGGGTTGAGCAGCCTGGAAAGACTGTTCTACTTGAAGATCTGACTGTAAGCTGGCAGAGAAAAAAATCTAAGAGCACCATGGAGAGCAATGAGCAAAGTTAAGTACACTATAGGTGACCCTCAGATCTCCACATTCCCAGAAAAAAATGCTTGATTTCTTAAATACCGAGTGCCTTTGTGGGCCTACTTTATCTGTCCATTTCCACCAAATTTTATATCTGCAAAAACATTAGGCCTGAGAATCTTGTATTTAAAACATATATATCTCAAAGCAGGTATTATTTCCACGAGTGTGTGCGTGGAACACAGCAAAGACAAGATGTCCTAAATTTTATACATATTCATATACATTTAACTGAACAGTAAGATACCACTGAAATATGGTCAGCTAAAGCTTTCAAAGAGATCCACTCTGTAACATGGTAGTTCTCCTCTTTAGATATGTCACTAGCTATCACGCTGTCCCCTCAGTGTCAGGACTGGGCAGGGCTGTGTGGGCCTCTGCACTCCACAGACTGCACTGTGGGCAGGAGCCATTCTTGTTTCTGCTGAATCTCTCCCAGTACACAGAGAAATGGTACTTCAATCTCAGTGAGTAAAAGATTATTATTATTTTTAAAACCTCTCTTCTTCAAAACTACTGGAGGATAATGAAAAGAATCCATGTGAAAATAATCACAATGAAGAAGCCTATTTTCCGTAAAGAGTCAGGCAGTTGGTACAGATCTTCCTTCCTAGGGACCTCTTCTGTCCTTGGTGCTGAGATGCCAGGTCTAAGGATAGAGCCAGGTGGTTCCCTGGGTTGATGCCACCTCACAGACGGAGTGACTTTGTGATCTGGTCTTGAACATGCATGGCTCTGCCATGCTCGTGTCCCCTCCATTGTGTGCCTGGACTCTGAAGTCCTTGCTCACAGCAAGAGACTGTGTCCTACCAGAGCGGCTTCCTTTCTAGGCCACAATAAATGCTACCCAGGAGTCAGGACTAACGTTATGGCTCCAAAGGATGCTCAGAATCATTGTCTCATGGGAGAAACTATTATCCCAGCCCCTCCTTTCTTTGATCTGCACTGTTGTCAACAGATGAGGTCACCTGGCTTTAATTGGCAATTGTGCAATCAGCCACAGGCTTGCAAGGCAAACAGCATCCTTCAGGATTAGCACCCACAGGAGAGCTCACTCACTTTCCAAATCGGATGGCCAGGGCCCGTCTGTGGCACTGCTCTATACCATTCCGTAACTCAAAGAACGGCAAGGTTTTTAAAAAAATTACCTTGCTTAGGAGATTAAGCACGAAGCTGTAGAAAAAAACCAATCATGCATGCGGCAGCTTGACTGTTAGGACTTTTATTTTCTGCAGGAGGCACCTCAACCTTGACCCTGGCTGTCAACAGTTCCTGGCATTCATTGCGGGCAGTGGGACACAGTTTAATTTCCTCCTCATCCTCCTCCTCAAACTCCAAAGCCAAACACTTAAGACAGCCCCACCAGACACCCAGGGCTCGCAGGCCGGTTGGTGTGCAATCCAGGCAGCTAACTCTCCTGTCTTTCCTTGGCCTCCATTCTCCTTGCTGATTCTCATTGCAAGGGCAGCTGCGTGGTGCCACCGTGATGCCACTCCGGCCGAGACTTAGCCCTCACAGCTCAGAACAGGGAGTTGGTAACTTTTATCCTCAGGTGCTTTCAAGCCAAAAGCAATAAACTGACTTCTAGTCCATAGAAAACCTCCTTCCCCTTCAGTCAGCCAAGCCCACCAGTCCTTCCGCAGGTGAAGCTGCGACAGTGCTGGAGACCACAACCTAGAGGTCCCTTCCTCTCCCGCCGGCACCAGCACTGGAAACCTGTTTCCCTCAAAGCTGAGCATGGGCTGGCATGAGCCAGGAGTGCTTGTTCTGGAGGAAAGGATGAGCCACTGACATGAGGGACAGAGTGTTCACCTCCTCACTAGGCAGGAATATCTGTCACTTGCTGCAGACACACAGGGGTACCACTTCTGAACCCCTCTCTCCTGACTGCAGGGATGGGACAGCAGAAGTCACTAAGGCACTGAGGCCTGCATGTGGCCCTTGTGCAGGTGCTGCTTCTTCCTGAGACCTGGGCTCCCTGCTCAGCTCGGCAGCCTAGCTCCGACTCGGTACTGCAGCTGGCGCTGTGACAAACTGAGCTCGGACAACCAGATCCCCTTCCTCTCACACAGCTTTGAGTAGGATATTTTCCCTCTTTAGTGGTGCCGGGGGTGAGCCCAGAGCCATGTGCATTCCAGGAAAAGTGGTTTATCAACAAAACTAACCCCCGGCCCCTGAGAAGGACTTCAGAATATTCAGGCTTATGTACCATTCCTAGTCCTTTCTTCCTGAAACTCAGTTCTCTGGAGTCATTTATTTCTTCCCTGTATCCAGAGGAATTTATAGTTCAGCAATCAGATGGCAGAGATAAAATTCTATTTGGGTCTCCTTAGTTTCCAGTGCACCCCCAACACATCTCTAGAGTATCTGGGTGGAGATGTGAGCCTGGACACCGTATTTAACTTTTATTCTGGCTAGAAACCCCCAGATGTGCATTAATGGATGTCCCTTGATGAATGGCACTAAGGCCAAAGAACAGAGCCCTGGCCCCTAAGATTCTCCGTTTGAGGTAGACGAGATAAAATTCTCCCACTATGAGCCTGAAACAGAGGGCACCTCTGGGAGCAGCACAGAAAGGGCCATCATTTCACTACTGTGGCACGAAGGAAGCACAGTCACCTCCTCCGAAAAGCGTCTACAAATAAGGGGGTCAGTTTGACCACCGAGTCCTCTGAAAAGCTGCATATACTGTGAGATTTGTGATTTTTTTCCTCAATAAAACTGCATTTTTAGTGTAAAAAATGAGTTTATGATTTTTTTCTTCCCTGCGTCATGAATTAGGAAAGTTGTATTTGAGTCTTGCAGCTACTGTATTCTGCTGGTGCTATCCATACTTCCATGCCGTACCTTTCTGCTGGGTTGGGCTGTGGGGAGCCGAAAGCAGTGTGATGGTACAGTCACTGGGATTGTCCCTTGCGTGTCTTCTTGCTACCTCTAGGGCTACTGCACCAGTAACAACTTGAAACTTAAAGACTTTTTTTAGGTAGAAGTACAGGGTAAGGGGCTGAAAAGTATCTCCAAAAATAATCGTGCATATTTTGGTGCACTACTTGCCACCGTGTGATTTCCTGCAAAACTTCAATGGTAAAAGTCTTTACTGAAAAGTAGTACTGTTTATCTTTACCTGGTTTTTAAGAGGCCAGAACATTTAAGGAAAAAAAAAAATCTACGAATAGATGTGTTTATTCACCTAAGTCTTCTATCTTCTATTTCTCAGGCTGTTTTTGCTGTTGATTTGTTTGTTTAAAAATATTCAAGGTATTCATAGTTTTTTAGTCTCTCATGGTCATAGAATTACTTTGGTAATTTCAATGCAAATTATAAACTGACAGAACAACATGCAATCTTAATGCCTTGATCATAATACAAAAGATAAGTGAATGAAAACCAAAGCAGGAAAAGAAGAGCTGGAACCTAAGCACCATGGCAAATACTGCTTCTTTTTCCAAACAAGAAGCACTCTTAGACAACAGCATAATTTCCCGATGTTCTTCTCTTTAATCCTCACTTGCAAACACTGCCTCTGACTTTACCTACCTCCACCACACCATGATGGATGGACGTGTACTGTTTCTTCTTCAGCATCACCAAAGTGATGACAATCACTGTTGCTATGACAACGCCACCGACCATGAGTCCGATAATTGCACCTTTGTTTGAACCCACATCTTCTGCAAAGAACACCTAGGAAACAAATCACGAAGCAAGAGTGTTAAGCATAGGTACCACCTGGATGAGATGGAAAGTTTCGATACATCTTCTGCCCTAATTCACTCTTGCACTCTCAGCTGTGTGGTCAGGAAGAGAGACAATCTTAACCTGCAGAGCAATGAGTAGCACGCGGCTTCCCCAGTTCTAGGAAGTCTACTGGCCTCCCACATGTCAACACAACAGTCTGCGGAGCTGAAACCCTGGGACAAGTGAACATTTGATGAGCAGTCTAAGGCAGCTCCTGGGTCTATCAAAGCTACAATGGTAGAAATTATGATGATAAAAGGACGCTAGCATTTTTTCAGTCCACAGTAAGTTTAAATGGGAGGCATGAAGCGTGGCTCTAAGTGATGTCACCTCAGATACTTTTTAAACCTGCAGATTCCTCATTTCTTTGGAAGGACATGTTCAAGACATAGCAATAAGCATTCTGACATGAAGGAGCTAAGCAGGCAAAGAAAATAGGCCTCCCATTATTTAATTCTGGCCACAATAATTCAGAAAGATTCTAATTAACCTTGCGTAGCATATGTACTTTAAAACATAATGTTATTTCCAAGTGAAGGAACAGTAGGTAGAGAGATCCTATTTGTTACACGCACCTCATGATTTCCTAGTATGTTTTATCAGAAACTAAAATTTATAATGTGGTTTTATTCCTGGTATTTGCTTGGATTAAGAATGAAAAGAATTTGGAGGACACTGTAAAGAAATTATTCATGACAGATTTAAAAAAAAAAACATTTTTTTTTTTATCTTTTTATCGGTACCAGGGATCGAACTCACAACCACCTGCTTGCAAGGCAGGTACTTATGCCGCTGAGCTAAAGCCCCAGCCCCTGTTCATATGACAGATTTAATGCACTACATTTGTTCACATTGTTTACAAAAGCAGGTCATTATTCTCCTGCTTTAACTACATAGAATGAAAGATGCACACTGCAACTTCTATTATCTTATTATATAAGATCATCTCACGCCACATCGAGAAAGAAAAACTATTACTCAATATGCACCACTTTATGTAAGCAAGTGAAAATAGTTCTCCAGGAGAGACTGAAGGCAGTCAAATTTTCACTGTTAAAACCATCATTGTAGGGGGCTGGAGATTTAGCTCAGTGGCATAAGCGCCTGCCTTGCAAGCAGGCAGTCATGAGTTCGATCCCTGGTACCAATAAAAAGGAAAAAGACAAAAAAAAAAAAAAAAAAAAACAAAACCCAAACCAAACCAAACAAAAAAAACACCATCACTGTAGCAATCTGAAAAGGCAATTCAGACTATGGCAGATAAAGCAAATTTCTAAAAGGATGTTACTCACGGTTTATCTGCAACAAAATTAGAAACTGTTCATAATTAGTCCTCTTACTAAACAAATATGCTACCTCAACATATTTATAAAAGGAAATCATTAATTAGCTAGTGATAGCAGTGTGAGGTAATCAGGAATAAGTATGAGTCTGGACATATCTCTATGTCTTTAAGAAACTACTATAATTTTGTAATATTCATTGTACTAATTATAGTACATTATCTTATCAACTAGTTCAGTAGAGGGAGCTGATTCCCTTAATTGTTGCTGCCACCATTAGTCACTGTCGCATTAGAGCAGTTAGTGTAATTATTGCAGAAAGGCTTATAGCAGCCAGGCTCCAGGAACTGTGAATCTGCACATTAATCTTCAGTGTTCTGCTCCACTAGCTCCCAATCCTTCAGAAGTTTTTCGTTTTCTTTTAAAACTCTTTAGCATCATCCATTTCAAAAACAACCCTCATCGCACAATAATTGATACAAGATTAATCTGCCAATGAAAATCAGGATCCAAAAGGCTAAATGTCTTTTTATGGACCAAGATGATGGGAGTTTCATGAGAATCTAAATCCCGAGTCAGTTTTAGATTTGCTGCAATAATTTAGAGGCAAAAGATGTCCAATAAAGGGATTAGAGATTAATACTAGGATTTGTGAACTTTATGAATGTTGAAAAGATACTTGCTGCTTCAAAAGGAGCAAAAACATAAAAACAGAAGAAGAGTCTGCGAATACTCTTCAATATTGCTATCAAGAATTTTATTATCATCTTTTGTTCAATACTGACTATGTGATAAAACCATCTCCTTGTATTAATTTAATTCCCTCGCTGTGTCTACCGATAACATGGAAGGAACTCGAACAAAACCCAGGGTATGATTTATCTAAATTTCTAAATTTATCTAAATTTGGGTGAAGATTTTATGAAACTACTGAAGTTGCCTGCCTGCCTGCCCTTTCCCTTATTCCAAATCTAACACGAGGAAGCATATTTATTCACTATAGGGAAACCAGGGTGTCACAGTGCCCTGCCTACCTCCACCCAACTTGGCAGAATCCTTGTATCTTCTCCTCGCAGCAGAACTGAAATTGTAGGAGGCAGAGGATGGATCAGGAAGGAAGGTGGAAGGGCGGAGGGCAGAGCAAGGAGCACAGGAAGACAGCCGTGGATGGGAACTCAAGCAAGCTATAAAGTATGGGTTTACTGGAAACTCTATGATTCTTGAAATAAAATCTATTGTAGGTGAGAAGTTCCTTATCTAAATGTTTCATGTATCTTGGGGTTAGTATCCAACTCTAACCATACATTTCATTTTATGTTTCACATATACTTTATGTACATGACCCAAAGATAATCTTACATAATATTTTTAGTAATTTTAGTGCATCAAATAGTGTCTCTTGGTGCTCAGAAAGTACTGGGATTTAAAGCATTCTGATATTCAGAAGAAATGCTCACATATATAAATCTATTTCCCTAGAAAATACAGTGCAAGGTATTATGTGGCTGCTATATTGAAATGAATTCCACTTTTAAGTACTGTGTGGGCTCAGTTGCTTTCTAGTCAGAAGGAATACAGGGACCACTGCGTTTTTCTTCAGGTTTCCACAATGATAGCATAGTCCCTTAATTTGATTTTTGGCACAGGAAGATCAAGAGTTTACATTTTTTGTCACCTGCAAGACAAGCTGCAGCATAAAGAAATAAATTGTTTTGCATACCAGTTTTTGATGATGGACTTCATATCCTGAGTCATGTCGGAATTCTGCATCCATCTTTACTTCCGAGATCTCCTCTGTCTTGATATTTGTCAACCCAGAACCTGCGTGAGAGCAGAGTTAAGATGCACAGGACAATCAATGAGTTTTATCTATTAATAGGAACATCATGAGGAAAGGGCTACCAAAAACTTCTTCCAAGGTCTGGAGTTAAGAGGAAAATGGATTAAGAACTTTTTTTTTTAAAAAGAAAAATGGCACCCTGAATTTAAATTGCTAACTACCACATAGAAAGAAATTAAAGACCAAACAAATCTGAACGTAAAGCTTCTTCTACTGCCTTTTACTGATGAGACAAAAAACCAGATCAGTGCTGGTTGGGAGGTTGGCAAGTATTTGTTCCTAGAAAATGTTGGCTTGGTTTACAGGCTTATTAGTTAGTCTATTATGTGTCTGTATTCGTATGCTCTCATTACTTTAGGAAAGATGATACAGGGCTTTTAAAAAAGCATTAACTACCTGGTAAAATAAACCTGCTACTTCAAGGCTTGGCTGTAATTACAAATAAATTATGCACGTGTTTATAAAGTGAAGCATTGTGAAAATTACGTATTTAGTTAGGCGTTCCAGTTATACATATCATATATACCTGGTTCGTCTGCTTAGTGTAAAAATACAGTACATAATTTTTAAAATGCTTCTTTGAGACTAATGGAATTTATAACCTATTGATTCTTCTCTCTCTACAAATTGCTCGATGATTCTTATACCAACTGTTACAATGAATTTCATTATTGAAATAATAATTTGAGGCTTAAAAATAAAATACAAAGGCATTTTTTTAGGTAGAGAAAACAAAAATAGCAGGGATATATATTAGATCCCATGTTGTGGGATTTAAATTTCAAAAATCAGAATTTTAGAATGAGAAGGGGTTCTAAAATCATTTCCTTAAATAATGTTTCCACACAGGGCCCAATTCTCAGTTTTGCTGTCAGTTTGTCTCCATTTTCAGACAGTTTTACCTCCTATAACAGCCTTTCTTACAGTAAGCCAACATCAGTTTCCCTATAACTTGCACCCCTGGGATTGGTTAGAATCTGAGCAAGCCAGTCTCTCCCTTCCACACAGCAGTCTGGAGCAAGGGTATCAGACACTCAGGGAGACGTGGAATGTTCCTGCTGACTTGCCTCTTTCGTGGGTTAACCATTCTGAGTCCTCCAGCTCTTGGGGACCCAGCTTGTTGCTCTTGGTCTAATCACTCCTCTAATCTTGTCTTCAAGGTGCTGTGAAACTTGTCACATACCTGCTGACACTGAAAAATACCACGGCCACATCATAAAATGTGCATCTAACGGTGCAGCCTATGCTAGCAGAAAGTGAAGAAAATGTGACAAGATCTAGGGACCCCACGCCGGCTCTCATATGTATCACTGTTTCCTTGTTCAGCTTCTCAAGAAATTGTCACTTAATAACTCATCCATTCATCCAAATGACGTTCCATCCATGTGAATCTACAGAGGGCTTGTAGATTGTGACATTACCTTTCTTCCCTGAAAGGAGACCTTTTCAGAAGTACACTTTCCCTGTCTACTTTTCTGTCCTCCAGAGTGCTCAAAGACCATGGGCCAATGGTTTTATTTGCCCCCCACCCTCCAAGCTCCCTTAGCCTGGGATTTGTCTGGGTCATAGAAGGTAGACTTGGTTAGAGAGATGCGGTTTTAAAACAAATTTACAAATTTGTTGCTACTCTTTTCAAGGTGTGGAACTTAATTCTCTTTCCTTGTATGTAGGCTGGAGGTAGTGACTGGCTTCTATCTGAAGAAAATACGGCAGAAGTTAGAACACATGACTTCAGACACTGAGTTTTCCTTTCTTTGATTATTGGATGGTTGACAAAGCCAAGTGCCAGATTGCAAGGAGGCTCAAGTAGCCTTACAGACTTCACATAAGAAGGTACTGAGGACTGCTGTCAACAGCCATGTCAGTGCGCCATCTTGGAATCAGACTCTCTGACAGTATCTTCACTGCAACCTCATGAGCGATCCTAGGTGAGGATCACCCATCTACACCAAGGCCTAAATTGTGACCAGTAAATCTATTAAGAAATTAAATGTTTGTTCTTTTAAACTGTTAAGTTCTGGACTTACCTGCAATGGATAACAAATACAAAGGGCTAGTGTTTTCTCTTGTCATCTTGATCGATTGTGGGCTTAAATTACCTTTAATAAGAGGCTCATTCTCTTTAATAGAGACGAAATACGCAATAAAAGTAGGAATAATTTTCCTTTCTCTCCTGTTTGTTAATTGTAGTTGTCTGGCAAGACAGACCTAGCCCTCCATCCTCCACTATGAGAAGTACAGTGCTCTCTGTTTTTATTTACTTTATTTAAACTATTCCCATTTTTCAGACATTTCTTACTCATTTAGTCTTCCAACCTTTCTGAAACTATTTTTTATAGGGTAGTGACACTGTTGTGGCTTAGCTAAGCCCTTCAAAAGGCTTGTGTTGAAGGCTCAGTTGTTGATGTATTTTTGGGCAGTGCCTGTATCATGAGAACTCTGACCATCAGTGATACACTCCATTGAGGAGATCATAATTTGGAGGCATTATTGGGAGGTGATGGAAATAGCACATGGGCTTAATTGAAGAGTGGATCATAGGTCCTCAACTTGGAGACGAAGTCTAGTCCCAGATCCCTTGCTTTTGGATTCTTTGGTTCTTTTCCCCTTTCTCTGCTTCCTGGCTGGCCATGAGGTGACAGCTTTCCTCTGCCATACCTCCTACCATGATAATTTTGCCTTACCACAGGCCTAAAAACAATGAAGATGGCTGACCATGGACTGGAACCTCTGAAACTATAAGCCAAAACATATCTTTCCTCCTTTAAAGTCTTTTATTCAGGTATGTTGTCACAGGGACAGAAACCTAACACAGATCACACGCCTTTTAAATTTTCATTGGTTGTATATTTTTATCTTCCTGTACATCCTTTTAAATCCCAGATTTTCCCTTTTATAAGGTGGTGACTTCTTGGTAATTCATTCTTTGTTTTTTTTTTTTTTTTTGAGCAGCAGGACCTACCAATGCAATAGTTACAATTAATATTTTTGAGATTTATGAAAACTTTCTGGAATAATCTTCCCATCAAAATTTAGGAGCAACTTTTGGCACGCACATTCACACAAATTAAAGAATTAGCTCGCCATTCATAATTTTATAAGCTCATGTCCTTTCTGAAAGGATATTGAGAATGTGTCTAGTGACTGAAAAAAAATAAACAACTATAAAACTCAGTACAATATATAATAGATATGTATGGTTTGTTAATTTCAGAGACTTTCAGCAGAATTCACTTTCGCTTATCATGTGATTTAGTAGACAATATATTAAGCAAATCTCACTAAAAAAGGAAAATTTAATAATTTAATAATAAAAACATTGCCAACAATAAGCTGATACTGGATATAATGAAATGTGATGGGTATTTAAAATACACGGCAGGGAACTTTGATTATAGTTTTACAAAAGGCCTTTTTTGAGTTGAGCTGGTCCCCCCTTGATGTCTCCAGCAATCTCTCCCTCACTCATGACTGGAAGAGTCTATAGACAACTATTTGGAGGCAGAGGAAGGTATGTTCTTTGTGACACATCTTTTCTGAGACAGAATCTTGCTGCGCAGTTCAGGTTGGCCTTGAACTCATGGCAATCCTCCTGCCTCATCCTCCTGGGTGCTGGGATTACAGGCATATGCCATCATGCTTGGCCTTTACAACACCTCTTACATGGCTGGAGGTCAGGAACTTGGTTTCCCTTATTAGGACTGAAGAAGAACAATAATATATCATAATGGAAAGGCTAGCGTTCTATGCCATGTGAAGAGCCTGCTAATACATTTTTTTAATCATTTGTCCTTTTTTATCATTTGTCCTTCAGAGTCTATTTTTCCCTGGAAATAAGCCAGCTGGCACAGCTGTAATGGCCACAATTCCCAGAAATCACCACTGTTATTACTGTGGTTCCTATGTGATTCTGTATTCTAGAAAGTTACAACATTCTGTTTTTCAATATGTTAGTCATTTTCCTTATCATGATTATATAGCATTGGCTGGAAAAAAACAAAAATCTTTCTCTATTTGTTTCTGAGTGACATTAGTAATTATTCAAAAATAATGACACAGGATACTCCTGGAAAGGGTTTCTAAGGTTGGAAAGTCTAAAGATACGATTTGGCATGAGGTTCAAGAGTGGTCTCATAAAATGCAATGATCAAGAACCAAAATGAATGTAGGGGGACTTAGTCCAAATCCCTGACAAACTCACTACAAGCACAAAATAGCACATAAGTACCCTAACACACATCCGGAAAATACTGCTAGTCATAAGTGCACTGTAACTAGAATCTTCCTCATTTCACATTTGAACATTCTTTTCTCATTTACAGCAACCTTCTGGTGGGGTGACGGGAGGATACAAGTCTTAGGTGGTGCCTGGCCCTGGGCATTCTCGCATCTTTCTCTCCCTTGCTCATCCATATGCCTGCAATTGTCTCAACATCTCTGGAAGCTCGTCTCCAATAAGTTCCCTGCTTAACACACCCAAGTTAGATTTATACTTGCTCATATTGTACCAACATCCTTGTTCACGCTTATGTAAACTTTGTATTTTTCTACTTTTAAAACTCCATCTCTTCTTTTTAAATATGCAAAGTATGTTTCTTCTATTGTGCTTCAAGCTCCTGCAAGCAAGTCTTACCATTTAATATCTTTCCACTCTCCACAGAATGTGCTACATTACTCTTTGTGAAACATCAAAACAGAAAATACCCTTACTGTTACATAAAGATTTTAGATGGCTTTCTCTCCAACCTATATAATTTCATTAGCTATTTATTTTCTACTTTTGCTCTTCAAAGAGATTATTTCTGCTTGCAAGGGTATAGAAATACCCTTTTCCTATTAGATTGAAAGTAAGAAATATCAGCTGGTGGAATGTATTATTCTGCTTCATATAAACCATATAGGTCCAGTTTGTCCAATGCATTAAAAAAAACTGGTTGAATGAGTGTTTCTCCATTCTATTTTATGTTCATAGATGAAAAGTATGACTTCTATTATAAATAAAATGAAAAGCACCATGAAAAAGAAGTCAAAGGCAGAAAACCAGCCCAAGCTGGTTTCATTTGCAGTTATGAGCCTAATGGGTATTGGTGTGGGCCTCGCCAGTTGGCTGAACACAACAGGAACATCAACTGCTAGCTCCTTGAAATTCATTTACGTGACAGTGACAATAAGGAGGTCATTAGGAGAGCCAGAGCTGTCTCTGTCTTCCTGTAATTTAAATTTCTCTTAAAAGCCCTCCAGACAAGAGACTCATGAAATCAGTGAGATGGGCTGCCAAAGCGTGTCCCTCCAGTGTCTGCTGCCACTGTAACTCAAACATGAGAGCATGAGGATGCCACCAGGGCGCTCAAGTCTTCATCTGCAATGTGGCTGACGGCAGCCATGGCTCACGCCTGTGCCGGCAGCAAGACAGATAGGGTCCACTTCTAGTCCTGCTGCTGACTGTGTCTGACCAGGGAGGGAAAGCTGACCCCTAGGTGTTGATGTCTTTAAAGAAGCTGAATCCTTCGCTCCTTGACTATGGTGTGGGGGGTATAATGAGGATGAAGAAGGAAGTAAATATGGGAAGACTTGTGTCACAGTGTTTTCAAATCAGTAACTTCTCTGCACTCTGATGCACTGAGTGCACTGGCTACTATCCGCTGGGTGATACCAGGTATGGAAGTGTGTCTCCCGTGGTGTGACATTATTCTTTCAGTTCTAGCCATAGGCTAATTACAAAACAGAGGGTGAAAATGCATTTTTTTTTGTACTGTTTCGGAAGCTGTAAAAAAAAAGTATCATTGGTATTAACAGAATCTGTAAGTAATATGAAAAAATAAAGGGATTATGTGCAAAATTATGCATATACATCTGTTGTGTTATTTTAGCCACTCGTGGAGAATAAGAATAGACAACCCACAAAAGAGAAAAAGTATTTCTGGCTCTGGAGATACAACAATTCTGATATTTTCAGGAAATCACATCTACTTTAGGAACTAACTGAAGTCTGAGCCCACAATAGTTAGAAAAAGATCCAGGTGGCTATCAGACAAGAAAGGAAAGAAATGTTCACAGCAGAGACCAAGTTGCCACTGGAGAAGCGCACTTGTGTGGGCTTCTATTTTTGAGGACAGGCTCCATATAATTCTCTCTGTTTAAAAAAAGGAAAGGGGAGGGCACAGGAGGGAAGTAAAAAAAGCAAAGAAAACTCAAAATTTGGAAGGACTCTCAGAAATCTCAGAAACAAAAATAGATCACTTAATTAAGAAGCTAGGAAAGGAGGCCCAAGGAAAAGCTAAGTTTGGTTTCTAAGGTCACTGCAAATTCTACTCTGCAACAAGTAAAACGTAAAGAGGCTTATCATGCAGAAGGAGAGCCGAGGTGCTCAAGCTCAAGCACAAAATGCTGAGAGGTAGGAGCCAAGGGTCAGATACCTGGTCGAGTGGTCAGTCCTCGGTCGGCCGCTGGACGGGCATCAACGGGCTCAACTGGACACGGGAAGCAAGAGACACAGAAAGCAAACAAGACAAATCAAGATGGTAAGTGGTGGCTTCTGAACAGAGCAAGGAAAAGCATATGCAATCAACACGTTATTATCCAGGAGCAGCTGGAAAAGCCCTCAGTGAGCTAATCCTGGACTTCAAGGACCTGGAGGGGCACCACTTCAAAAGGCTTATCGCCGTGATGTGCCAATCCATCTCCTTAGTCTTCGCATAAAAGCACTCACCAGGATATGCAGCAACATTAAAGAAAGAGAGTAGGGGAAGGTGGCTCTTCCTCCGAGCTAGTTTAGAGATAGTTTTTTGGCTTTTGACTACAAATGAAATAGGTTATACCCAGCCAGCGGGAGCCTCAAAGATACCTCCTTTATTTTTTTTTTTTAAAAACTGTCCAACCTTATCATCTTTTACAGTTAATTGACTACCAAAAAATTCCTGTTGCATCTCGAGAGAAAATGCAAAGATGAGTTTATCAGGAGAGCAAAGTCTCACCACAAAATCTGCCACTTAGTGAATCGAATTTTTCCTTCCTCTGAGGACAGGTGAGGTAATCCACAAAGTTTCTGTCTTTTTTTTTAAAGGCTGTTGTCACTGGATAGACGATAGTCTGAAATGAGAGCATTGCCTTTCATGTCTGCTGGCATTCACAGTTACTCCTTTGTATGTGTTCTGGGTCTGACCCAGAGAATGGGAGGTCGCGGCACCACAGTACCCACACTGCTCACCACTATCTGGCATGTCCCAAGTGCTTCTCATCCTCGGAAAACACTTCCTTGAGCTTAGGCTGCCCTTTGAAGAAATTGGGAAGGAAGTAGGAAATAAAGCTTTCAGAATTAGTCAAATGGTCAAAAGGCAGATGAAGCCAAGGGGGCAGCAGATTTGGCAAGGCCCGGCAAGTGCCAAGGTAAGAAAACATCAGCACAGATGTTGACAGGAGGCAAGTCTGGCTTTGAGATCAGGAATTGCAAGTGCATGGCCTACTGATGTTCGTGAGGGGGATTTGTGGGAGGGATTATGAACCCAGAGCAATTTTGAATATCACACACATTGGCAGGAATAGTGAGGAGGGAGACAGTGCTAGCGAGCTCAGGATACAAAATTTGAGAAGACCCTGTTTCCGACAGCACAAATCTATCTGGATGGACCGAAAGAGAAAAGCTTTCTCATGCTGGCACTGGCAGTAAGGTGGGACAGAGAGGAGGGCGGCGGCCTTTCCACCCAGGCCTGGCACTTACAAGGCCTCCGATCCCAGACAAGCAGGTTCTGAGACTGATTCTCCATATGGAAAATAAAAATAATACCTGCAACTTACAATTGCAGGGAGGAATAAATAATTATTAGTCTGCTTCACAAATTTTGAAATACTACAAAATTGCATTTATTAAATATCTTCTTATTAAATATTCTGTAATGAGTACTTCTGGGTGGGATGATGGTTCCTAGTAGTACTTTATTTGTACATGAGAATAAGACATAGTTACTCTGGAACTAGAGATGCATTTCAGTGATGATGCAGCGTCTCTGCATTTCATCTTTTTTAATTTTTTTCCCATCTGCAACATGTACTGAGTGACTTTATTACTCTTTAGAACATGGATCTGCTGAAGGATTAGTTGAAGGATTATCACACTTTTTGAGGATCTGCTGATTACGAGTGGCCCAAAGTGTGGATGAGTTGCAAGAACACACCAAGCCACACTCACAGTAGCCAACGGAGTGCCTTAGAGCGGCACTGGTCCCTCACGCTGACAGTCACATCGTTAGAAAACGTGTATCCATCTTAGAGGGAGCAGCTGTGTTCATGGTTTAAATGCAAGATGAGTGCTGGTGGTCTCAGTATACACTGCTAACACCACCTTTTATTTTCCCGTGATCTTGGGCAAATCACATTCTTGATGCACATCAGCTTTATCACGATGTAAGGTTTTTCTAGGGCCTACGTATGCACAGTTATGTGGAGGAAACTACCAACTAGTAAAGCAGTGGTCCACAGTTGTCACTGCAGAAAATAAATTCTGAAAGATATTACTTCAAAATGCTATTACTTGTTATCTTTGGGTAAAGAGATTATGCTTATAAATTTCTTTGCCCTAAAAAATAGAAAATTTCATGATATTGGAATAATGTGTTTTGGTATGTTTATTTTTTCAACGTAAATTAAGTGAATGCCTGGGCGTCAGACCCTCCTCTGGACTTGACCAATTGTTCTTGGGAAAAACAAAATACTTCTGGTATTTGAACTTATGAGGCTAAGGTCTGCAGGGACAATGAAAGGAAATCCTCTGAGAACTTCAGATATCTTAAAATAGCGTAGTGTGAGCACATATCCGTAACAAGAAATAAGAATAAGGAATGAGTTTCTGGGGGAAGGGAGAAGAGAGAGATGGGAAGGGAAGAAGTCAGATGTCTTCAAGATTATGTCATTAAATGGCATGCTATCCTCCTGCATGTTAAGGGCACACTGGTGTTTAGATTCATCTGGATGCAGGATGGTAAGTCACTCTAGGAAGATTCTGGCTCCATTAAAACAAATAAACAAATAATTACCCCTGCACATGAACTGTGTTCCACTGTTCACACCATCTCATTTAATATTCAAATCATATTTTGGAACTGGGAATGAAAGCGACCCTACTTTGTAGACAGCTAGACATGCTAAGTAACCTGCCTGTAATGACACAGTAGAGCTGGAATTTAAACTCAGATTTCTACTGCTGAGGAGTGTGGAGTGGTACTCCCTATCCAATAGGGATGGTGGGAAATGCTCAAATGTTTTTGGTTGTCACTACGTTAGGGAAAGAAAAGACAGTACTGGCATTTTGCAGGTGGTGATCAAGGATGTTAAACGTTGTACATAGAACAATCCCAACACATCTCACACCCACACGGTTTTCTAACATTCCACTGGATTTACAGGTATTTAAGACAATGCAAATCCAGACCCTAACTCAGTTTTATCTATTCAACACAATGCATTTTTGCAGTTTTTAATGTAACGTGGGTATTTCAGGAGTGTACTACTGGGTAAATTGAAGAAGGACTTTTATTCACAGCTTTCCCAAGAGTTTTTCACTATTTTGAAAAGTCATGTCATTTATGCTTTGGTACATGTGGAGCCTAAATCACTGAAACAGCCCCCTACGTCAGTTTGCAGCTGTATCTATATGGGGACAATCACTGACTTGTTTCTTCTAGTCATCACAAGCACAAACATACTGAAACACATTTAATCAATTATGCCCAGTATACTGATTTATTGATCTTTCCCTATATTGTGCCACCCAATTTTATTTGAAGAGTGATTGTGGCCAGGGAGATATATGCAGCTCAGTGGTAGGGTGCGCTTATTTGGCATGAGTGAAGTTCAAATCCCTAGACCCAGCTGCACAGACCCATACAGATCACTCAGCAACTTTTTGAAATATTAGTTGTAAAAGAGGCATTGAGTCTGGTAAAAGTGAGGACCACAAAGCAAGACTCTTGAGGTGTTAAGTACTACTGCTTCGTAACTGTTAAGAACTTTGGTTTTGATGATGTCAGGGCAAGAACTCAGAACCTCATGCAGTCTAGAGAAACTCTTACCACTGAGCTGTATCCTTGAATTCTCCCAGGACTTTCGTATGAGACTGCTGTTTATCAATAACAGATCTTCACTTAACAAGAATATCAGCTTTTTCTGAAGCTGAGGCAAAGGAACAACTGAATGTTGATCAAAGATCCAGAGGTATGAAACTAATAACTTTGCGCCCTGGGCATCTTGGCAATATCCAGAAGCTTTTGTGCGTGTGCGTGGCATGGTGAATGTCACATGTACACAGTCTCTGGGGGCTGGTATCACAGTGACAAGCAGTCAGTGTGCATTCGATTTAGAAAATCAAACGAGATGTTTCTCATAAAAAATCTCAGAGACTGAATTGCAAGAATTTTAAATGGCCAGAATATCTTTCCTATGAAAAATGAAACAACTAACATTGTAACAAGACAATTTCAAAACAGTTATCCAGGTATTAATAATCAAGTGTTCTTAATTTTTCTCTTCTACATGAATAGGAGTATTTTTATTTTTATTATTATATTCAGTATTGATAACTGAGACTTTAGCATTAAGATCCATTTTATTTTGAGACAGGGCTTCACTAGGTCATTAAGTTGGCCAGGCTGGGCTAAACTGAGATTATGTGTGTGCCACAGTGCCTGCTGGGGTTAGCTTTATCAATATCAAAGACTCAATTTTTCTGTCCATATTCCTGGTGGTATCTGATGGTAACGTTATAAGGTGCCTGTTTTTTCAAATTAAGCAAAACAGATTGACTTGATTATTCATGGTGTGAAAACAGTCTGTCCAGAGCTTGCTGCAGTGGTTCAAGAAAAGTACCTGCCCACTGTACTTCAGGTCTAATACTGGATTTGGATGTAGGCTGCGGTGTATACTGACTGCATTTCAGCCAGTACAAATATGAAGCCACTACCAAAATTTGCTACTTTGAGCAAGAAATAAAAGTCTTTTTAGATTCTTTAAAAACATGTTATTAGTGAGAAAAAAAAGAAGTAAAAAATCATTTACTAGTTTTGAGAAGTCAAATATTCATGTGATTATAATTTTATATTTCTAAAATGATAAAATGAACTCAAATATGTTTTTTTCTACATAGAAATCCCTAAGAAATCCTCATGAAACAGTGTACCATCCAGGTGCACAAGTCTGTTGGCAGAGAAAATGTTAATTTTCTCAGCTATCACAGGAACAAAATTTTGGAGCAAAATGTTTCTTAATTTTAATAGCAGTCTTAAATTTAAATCGCTAACTACAAAATTATTTAAGTGAACTTATATTTTACTTATATTTGGTTCTCTATTTTTGCCTTTAACACAGAATGAAATCTGAATTCTCATGTATGAATAAACAGCCAAGACACTATTTTAATGTCTGTCAAATCTCTATTATACAGGTCCCATCAGTTCTCTCTCTGTGGGGCAAACTGGATTAGCCTTGATTTGATCACCTGTTTTCTTGAAAGATGGTCAGCATTATTTAGGCCACTCTCTCATACATACAACTCAAATACTATATTTTTCATTCTAAAGGCAACAAAAGACCTGTCAGTGAGAAAGTTTCTTAAAAAAAATTCCTACCAAAAGTCACCAGGCAAAAATTTAGTTTTTTGGCACCTCAATTTTCTCATTTGAAAGAATAGTCATTAAAACAGTATGCCAGCATTCACTCTTTTTATGTATCCACTCTTTATTATTACATATTTATTTCTTTTTTATTTTGAAGTGAGGTTGACCAGGTGGCCCAGGCTGGATATCAGGCATACATCACCATGCCCAGTTCTGTATAACAGAATAGAATAGGGAACGTTATTCTAGATATGATTTCCATATAGAGAATCGGTATTGAATTGAATAATACATTATGAATCCCCTTTTTTACAGGGTCCTCCTCAGAGTGTAAACCTGAATTTTTGGGAAATAACAGGCCTTTTACTTAAAAGTGTTCTATGTTAGCATAATCATTCCTTTTCACCACCTACAAAATGAACACTGGCCAACAAATACCAGTTGCATTGTAGCATGAAAAATCTAAGTAGTTATTCAGTATTATTTATGTAATAGGTACATAATTTTAATAATTAACACAGTAATAGCCCCTAATGTTTATTTCTTCAAGTAAAATTAAAATGACAATGTTATCACTGCATGAAAAAGTCACCACTCAAGAACATAAAAGATTATCACATACAGGCCCTGCGGAGAGATCTTGCTCCTCCAGGGGGCTCCTTACCTTCATTTTCCGTATTGGCCGGGACAGAATCTACCCCAAAAGGATGCCAGGGCTGGAGATCATCCAGGCTAAACTCTCCATTGACAGGGAGGAGCTCCACGGTGGTTTTGGTTTCCGTCAAAGAAGGCATAAGAGCATCATTTCCGTAACTGATTCGAGGTTCACTGATCATGTTGGCCAAGACATCATCTGAGTAGTTCTGTTCTTTCTGGAGCAGCTCATCTAAACCAAACCAAACCATTTCCTTGGTCAGTAAAATGACAATCAAAACAGCAGTGGCAGTTCCTATTTAGACAGTGTAGGAACCGTTGCTATCTCCCTGGAACAGATGTGAAAGCTGAGGTACACAGAGATTAAGCAACTCAAACAGTCACTGAGAGTTCAGTAAGTGCCCCTGGAGGGATTTGAACCCATGGAGAATGGAAGCTGGAAAATGTTCTGAATTGCTGCAATGCTCCTCCCCTGGGGTAAAAGGCTGATTTGCCATTTCCTTCTCTATTCAGCTTCCCAAAGTATCTGATAATCATAAAGACATTAAGAGTGTATTTCTGTGTGGTCTTTGGGGGGCGGTGTCAACAGCAGGCAAGGTACAATCTGTTTTAAATGGAAAGATACATCCCATGGTTCCCTGGTCTTCCCAGAACACCTGTATAGTAATAAAAGCATCACGCCATGCAGCATACTCTATTCCTAAGCAGTTCTCATTATTTTGTCTTGAAAAATATGAGTTCTCCAAAGGCTTCCTCATGTTGCATGCTCCACGAGTCCCCTCTGTCTTTCTAGATGCAGCCCAAGGGCACAAAGCTGTCCTTGGCTTTCTCTGTGTGAGGCCCCTCTGCTTCCCAGCATTAACCATGTGATTAAAGACCAAACATCTTATCTCGATTTCCCTCTCTGCAGGTTTTGTCTTCCCAAAAATACTGTTGGTATCTCCCCTTTAAAAAATAGCCACTGAAAAATCAACTTTATGGATCAGCATTCACTTTTCTGAAATTCTGATGGTCTAGTGTAAACTCCTAAATTGTGTTTTATTATTGAAACAAGTTTTATGGGTAAAAAAGATTTTTTTGTCTTGGTCTTTTTGAGACAGGGTCTCGTTATGCAGTTCAGGCTGGCCTTGGGCTCACTTTGTAGCCCAGGTTGGTTTTGAATTTGCAGTGACCCTCCTGCCTCAGCCTCCTGAGTGCCGGGATTACAGGAGTATGCCACCATGTCCAGCTGGGTAAAAAGATCTTTAAATGTGACTTTGTATTAAGAGTAATCTCTGCTTTAAAAATATGATTACAAGTTTTATAACTCTCCTAATACCTCATCAAGGCCAACCAGATTTTTCTCTTGTATATTTTAACATCACACATCCAAGATGATGTATGTGATATTAGTAACAATTAAGTACAATGCCCCATTTTCCAATTATATCTGTCAGGAATTTACTGCATTATATATTTTAAATCAGTTATTAATACTAGTACTGGAGAGAATGATGAAAATAAAATCAGGATTTAAATTTGATTTGTAGCATTTTACTATTATCTTTCCAATTCTCTTTTAAATTGACAAAATACCACTTTATCTATGAAAAATTAAAATTTTGCTTAAATATACCTATTAAAACAATTTGATGGGACAGCACTAAAATATGTGATTAATATTCTTCTATAGTCAGTTTTACTGCAGGATATTTTTTAAATGGTAGAATCCCAGTTAGTTCTTCTGAAGTCTAACTTGAGTTATAATATCTACATATTTATGGTGGTACCAATATAAAACTCTACTTGATGCTTGCAATGATGTTTCCCATACAGATAAAGGGCTTCCTCTAGCTTTCTTCTCAACTTTTTCATGTCTTATAGTCACAGGTAATGGCCAATAACTTAGCCAAAGTCTGATTTAATAAATTAAATGGACAAGGGCTTTATATAAATCTTGTGCTTGTTAAGTATTTATCTTAAAGTCTGCACATTCGGGAATGATCCTTGTGGCTTACATATTTGTCTTGAGAGAAAACAACCCTCATCAGTAAGAGAGCTCTTGACTCAACCCAGCGCCACGTTGATCTTGGAGTCTTTGTGTGATTTCCATTGTTTTTTTTTTTTTTTTTTTTTTTTCGTTTTTATCGGTACCAGGGATCGAACTCACGACTGCCTGCTTGCAAGGCAGGTGCTTATGCCGCTGAGCTAAATCCCCAGCCCCTTGATTTCCATTGTTATGGTTTAGACCTAAAGTGTCCCCCAAACTCTCCTACCTTCACAGTTGGAGCTTTTTGGAGGTGATTCACTGATGCAGCCTTTAACTCTATCCACGGATGAATCTAATGATAAGGTCGTAATCTGATGGTATTTTTGAGAGCTATGGAAATTTAGGATGTCAGGCTTAGTAGAATGGGTTATAATCTTGGGCACTATATTCCTGGCCCTTCCCTTTGCTTCCTGGTTGCCATGAGTAAGCAGCCTTCCTCCCCATCTCCTCCTACTACGATGTTCTGTCTTACCTCAGGTTCACAGCAAAGGAACCAGCCTAAGCATCTCTGAAACTTGAGCCACAATAAATCTTTCCACCTGTAACATTTTTATGTCAAATATTTTATTGCAGTGATGAAAAGCTAACACAACTATTACTCATATTCCTCCTGTATTAGAAATTATTTTCTGTCTTGTACACCCAGTACCAATCTTCCTCATGATGGCTTGGAATGATTCTCCTTGCTATTTGTTTTTCAGTCTCTACATCATGTTTTCCTTCTTGTGTCTCTAATTTTCCACTTTGGAAATCACATCTATGCTGGAAACTATGAGATCTCCTACTATCTCCCTGCTCTGTTTTTAGGAGTTTGCTGGATATGTTAACTTAGATCTCCCTCTGATCCACAAACATAGGTATAGAATTACATTTGAGCCACCACTGTTACCCAGTCTCAAGCTCAATATCTTTAGATCCATTCATGATTCATACTAACACCAGTGAATTCTACATTCTATTTCCAAATTCTTTCATCCACTTCTCATTCACTTTCCATGCCCACTCCCATCTTGGACCATCATTACTTTTTTCTTAGATAATTGTGACAGTCTCTTCATTGTCTGCTAGTCTCTGAATATTCCCTCAACTTCCCATGTTAAAACTTATTCCCCACTGTGGCTGTAATAAAGGGTGATAGATTATTTTGGGAAGTCATTTGGGACAGTTCCGCCTCCTCGTAATGAGTAGCGATATGAAAAGGCTGGATGGAAGCAGCTTACGCCTTTTTGCCTCTTTTGTCATGTGAGGACCCAGAGTTTTTCCATTTTTCCCTTTTGGAAGGGTGATAACAAGGCACTATTTGGGAAGCAGAGATCAGGTCCCCATTAAACAACCCAACTGCCAGCATCTTCATCTTAGCATTTCTAGCCTTAACAACTGCGAGAAATAAATTTCTATTGTTGATAAGTTACTTCTTCTCTGATGTTCTGTTATAGCAGCAAACTAAATACTGCTCTCCTTCCTCATTTTATTCTTCTCGGTTCCTTTCATCTTTCTCCGGCATGGGGGGAATCACTCCTTCGCATTTCAATGGGCACTCAAGGGGAACCCGGTGCATTCCTGGCCTGACATCTTTATGTTCTGTCCCTGTGACCTGAAAGCCCATTTCTGCTTATCTAAATCTTGTGTGCACTTTAAAGCCTGGCTCAAATGCACTTTCCTCTTTGATCCTTCTTTCAAGGTGGGTACTGTATTATTAACCTTACAGGTCAGAAAACTGATGCTGGGAAAGATGAACCAACGTGTAAAAATCTCATGGCCCGTAAGCACGGGCTTTGAGATCAAACCTTAGCTAACATCAGCTGCCCTGCACTGAGCCTCCACCTGTTTTTGCCACCAACGGTACCACATCAGAAGAGGGCTCAATCACGGTCTCACTGTGAGATTGTTTTTCTAGCATAAATGTAGAAACCAGGCACTAAACTCAATCCTATTCCAGTGTGTTCAGTAATGTCTTCTAGTCTTGTGGGTTGTAAGCTGACTTAATCACATTAGCCCTATGGAATGTTTCTTGCTTTTATCCCCCAAATATGATTTCTCACACATGGGCAACTTGGAAGGGTTACAATTCTATGCCCATTTTAACTGCTGGCAGTTTAAAAAAAATCAGAATATGGAATCATCACCGAGGAAAATGTTACATTTATCTTCACACACTATTCACATTATTTCAGGCAGAGGTAAACTACAGTATCTCTTTTTATCTCCTGGCAAGAAATGTCCTTCAAATGTGCACCACAAATGGTAGCCCCATTTTTGCGAATTTTCCTTGTTTATTATATTCATTTTTGGAAAACTTAAATGAGAGGGTAAAATATTCAAGAAAAATTACCTTTTTAGCTGAGCAAAAAGCATTTTGCATTTTTTCTGGGGATACAAAATAGCAGAAATCTATATTCTTATCCTAATTTATCCTAATTTTACATAGCTGGCTATGTCTTTGGAAACAATGAAATCAGGGTGATTTTTAAGGGTAAAAAGAGGGAGGATGTGTGTGAATGTGATGGATTACGATTCGCTGCAGTAGGATTCAATTTTGTGATCATAAAATAGCTAATGCAGCCAGCTCCCTTTTGACATGATTAAGGGCTCAGGATTTTACCAAAGGCAAACACACTGGTGCCGCACAATTGCACTGACAACCAAGCAGATGAACGCTGCCGCCATGACTATTTCATGGTTCACCCCAAATAGGGCTTTGTCTCTGACTTCCGAGGTGAGATGAATCACACTGAGCCCAGCTTGCACTGTGTTGGTGGCCCTGATGGATTATCTTTTTATCCGAATTAATTTAATATTTTATTACAATTCCTTGATGGCCGATTTTGAGGATTTCAAAGCTTTTAAGCATCTATATTTGCCAACTGTTGTATTAAGCTAAGATATTACATTCATTCTTCCCTCAAGAGCCTTTTTCTTTTTCTTCTTAAAGGTGTTTGTGATTGCTGAAAATTGTGGTAGTTTCCTCTGGAGTCAAATATTTTCTATAATATCCAGACACAGGCTTTGCAGTTTAAAGTAGAAATATTTAACTAAGTTCAGTGACGGTAGAATTATTTAATTTATGGTTTAAGTAATGATAGCAATACAGCAATAATAGCAATAATAGCACACAATCAACCTGGATCACCTTGTACCTTTATAAATGCTTTTAGGATTCATTTAGGAATAAAGAAGCCAGGTATTGTAGTGCATGCCTGCAA